TACGAGTATACTTGCAGTATAAAACTACTAAACTAGTAGTTTACTGAGACTATACTTCAAAGTGTGCTAAAAATGCTACTACAAGTATTTAATTAGTAAACTATCAGTATACCTATAAGTTCACTTTTAGTATAGTTGCAGTACAAACTAAACATTTTGATGTAAACTAGTTGTGTGCTCAAAGTTTACTACTGTTATACTTTCATATACTAGAAAGTGGGCCAATTTAGTCCCAAGGAGTATTGAAATAGAACACTTACAAGTATACTACTAGTACACTGATATTTGTATACTTACTACATAAAGTATACTTAAAAATATACTTGAACTTTACTTAAGTATACTTACTAAAGTAAACTTGAAGTATACTACTTTTTGGTAAGGGGACTCAGAAAAAATAAATAAATACAAATCTATCTAGAAAGAATATAGTTCACATGCCACATATATAGACATATATAGATATATGATACTGGTAACATTGAAGGATTTGTAATATAAGAAAATTACAATTTCCAAGACTTGCATAGGAGTGCAAAAAATAAAGATATATATATATATAATTAAACATTTTAAAACAGTACCTGGAAGAACTAATACTATCACTAATACTAACATCTCTTCACATCTGCTAGGAGTAAGCACTGATAGTCTTCTTTTTCTTTACAGCGCCATATAAATGCCTCATTCATTCTCATATAAGCAGTCAGTCTAATAACATCCTGCAACAACAAAAGAGTAGACATCGCCATCTAGCGGTGAAATATTCAATAAGAGAAAAATTAATCTTGATAGAAATCAAAAGTCTGGAGCTAAAGCAGATTTTAATCAGTTGTTGTGTTTCTATAGACCCGGTCTTTTGTCAGTATATTAGGTTATAGATCAGTCCATAAACTGATGCCCAGATACAGACTAAGACAGAGAAATGACATTAAAAGCAGACAAAAAGCTGCCATGTTTATGTGGTTTGAGAAAGTCTCTAGACCACAAGAACAAGACGCTGCCCACATAGGCTACACTTCTTAAAGGAACAGTTCACCCAAAAATGAAAGTTTGCTCAAAATGTACTCACTCTCAGGCCATGCAAGATGTAGATGAGTTTGTTTCTTCATCAGAACAGATTAGGAGAAATGCATCATTACATCACTTGCTGCCATCTAGCGGTGAAATATTCAATAAGAGAAAAATTAATCTTGACAGAAATCAAAAGTCTGGAGCTAAAGCAGATTTTAATCAGTTGTTGTGTTTCTATAGACCTGGTCTTTTGTCAGTATATTAGGTTATAGATCAGTCCATAAACTGATGCCCAGATACAGACTAAGACAGAGAAATGACATTAAAACCAGACAAAAAGCTGCCATGTTTATGTGGTTTGAGAAAGTCTCTAGACCACAAGAACAAGACGCTGCCCACATAGGCTACACTTCTTAAAGGAACAGTTCACCCAAAAATGAAAGTTTGCTCAAAATGTACTCACTCTCAGGCCATGCAAGATGTAGATGAGTTTGTTTCTTCATCAGAACAGATTAGGAGAAATGCATCATTACATCACTTGCTCACCAATGGATGCTTTGCAGTGAATGGGTGGGTGAACACAACGATTTTTTGTGATTCATTTGAAGGATAGCTAGGCAGAGTACAACTCTCTGAATGCTTAGTTTTGTAACTGACTGTACTGGCAGTCGTTTTTCCCTGCAGAAATGTTCAAATAGGGGATGTTAAAGAGAGATTTTATGTGAGAGCAGAAGGAGAATTATTGTATGTTTTCGTAAACTGCACTATGTAAGGAATTATAAAAATGTTTATTATTAAAACAATGAGAAATATTATAAGCTACCAGCACATTAACAGCT